GTTTTCGACGAAATCACCTAAAAGATACAAAATCACCAATTGAACGTATTTTCCATGAAACATTTTGCAAGGGTCAAGTTGGCAAAGTATCAATTTCAATCTGGAGAGTCAAGATATATATCAACTTTCTTACAAATTACTTTGAATGTGGTGATTTGTGACGTAATGCACTGCAGTTATGTAAAATACTGTGTTCCGATTGGCTGGAATCGGACACACCTTTCCTAGCTACAGGCCTAGCTAGCTTTGTGTGAATCTTATATCACGCATGTCATGTATGAACGCAACGTTCCAACGATATCTTTCACCGCGTAGGCACTGGGGATGAACTGGAAACGAGGGAGGTTTTGCCTCGTATCAAAATGGCGGCGCGTGAAAAAATTTCATTCGGTAAGGTTTTTGTTTTTTACAATTTTCGTGCTTTTATCCTTCAAATTAAAACTTAATATTTTGCAAGTAAATAGTTTATAAGTTCCGGTTTTATAATATGATTGCAAATTAGAAATCAATACAGACATTGCTGAGATATTTACATTTCAATTCTCTCACTTAGGAAACGAGGCACCTGTCTACATTTTGTAACAATGAAACGAGGCAATGTTTGACTTGCAACGAGGCAACTATTCTTTCTGTGATAGTGTCTACATTTAATGATCTTATTTCCACCGTTCTGGTCACATACGACCGATTACGTTTTACACGATATACATGATTATATATGTAAGAGTTAAAAAGAATAACCATATTGTTCATAACAGTCATTCCATACATGTATATAAGCAGACATTCGTGTCGCCAAGGTTTTTTTTCTCAAGCGTTAATAGATATATATAGAAACTTTTTAAGAACATCTACTTAGGACCAATACCCACTTGTACAACCACCAAACAGCAAATTTTAATTGTTCGGTAGTAAGTGAGAATTTGTTCAGGTACGTTATGTCGCCAGAGTGCATAGTGGTGTTTTATAAGCACAACTGACATGACTGAAGTAGTTATAGATTTTAGAACACATCCAAACTTCCTGAAAAAATACCTGTGGGTATTTACTGTATTTTACCAACGTTTCGAGTAATTCAATCCTTTCCAACGTAATAATCAGATGCCCGGAACCCATGTCGCCAGTTTTTTTTCTAAAATACCACTTTAGATATTTCAATTTCTAGAGAATGCACGAATCACTTAAATGTTTAACCCAGAGTGATATCTTATCAGAAAATGATTTATCAAAATGCATGCAAAGTTTAAAAACTGTATTCTATCCAGAACAAAAGTTATAGGTCATAAAGGTGTCATTTTTCAATTCAAAAGATAAGGATTTTAAGGTACGTTACAACATTTCCCAACATTTTGTAATATCTTGATGGAATTAGTAAATAAATTCTTGAATATGACAAGGCGGACATTCAATACAATGTGCTCATTACCTTTGTTCGCTCTGTTGTATTGCTTTATTGGAACATGTAATGAGTTTTCCTCATGTACGTTGCAATAAGGTACGTTACGGAAAGTGCGAAATAAGTTGATAACTCAGCAATAAATGCTGCTAACTCAAGTGGAGGAGATCATCACGTGATCTCATGATACGACATACTTTATTTGCAGTCAAAGGAAAACGGATTTCTTCCTAATAATCCCTAATAATCCCTAAATAATATACAACACCTGTATCTTTTGCCTAAGCAAAGCTGGTTGATCAAAGATCTAGGATATCCCGATTCGGTTGAAAGGTATTCTAAAAAAAACAACTTAATTGGTCATTGTTAAAACATGATGTCAACTTTTTTCCCAAATCAAATACGACTTGAGTTTTATATAAATTAAGGTACGTTGCTTTTGATAACGTCGCTTAATACTTGTTTTATTTCTGTCTTAATAGTGGTAACTAACCCGGGAATTCACAATTTGTTGCAGAATATGGCCAAGACTAAAGCAGAAATTCAAAAGAACTATACAGGGCGTATAAAAAAACTAGTAATGACTACATCAATTTCATTTAATGTACCATAAAGCCATGTCTCTCCTCTTTGCAATGATATGTCATTCATTCACACGTGGTAATGGTTGGGTAAGAAATCCTTCCATTTGCACAGTGGGTCAAAATCGGCTCTGCGCCAAGTTTTAGATATTGAAAAAATCAGTGCAAGGACTAAGTGCCAATGGAAGTTCCCCTGACTTTAATTGTTGTGACTTTTTCTTTTGGAGCTATCTCAGGAGCATCTGTGCTCACAATTCCTCCACCAGATATTGCAAAATCTCGAGAAAGATTTGCCCATGGGCTGCTTTTCTTTGCTTTAACCCACACATGATTCAGGGCTGAACCATGCATGACGTGGACAGATGAGCGCATCTTTATGTGCAAGGAAGTGGTGGCAATTTGGAGGGGTATAGGATATATTCTTGCAAGAGTATGAGTATGAACACTTTACTGTCTATGCCATACCTGTCACACCTTCTTCCAATAGCCCCTATGCCCCTTGTACTGACTTTTGCAATGTCTGAGCTGAATTTTGCCCCACTTTGCAAAAGTAATGATTATTCGGCCATAGATGACTCCCTGTGAATGAATGATATTCCATTGCAAAGAGGAGTAATTTGGCTTTTTGGTACATTGAATTAAAAGGATGCAGTCAGCATTGGTTTTATGTTTACGTCCAATATTGCATCGGGCTCCGTACACTGACTTTTGCAATGTTTATAACTTGGTTCGAAGTCCATTTTTAATTAAATATGGTTGCCTCGTTTCATTCTTAAGAATGCTATATAGCTGCCTCGTTTCCTTGAGAAACATGCCTCGTTTCCTAAGTGAGAGAATTGATATATAAATATCTCAGCAATGCCAGTATTGATTTCTAATTTGTAATCATATTATAAAACCGGAACTTATGAACTATTTACTTGCCAAATATTAAGTTTTAATTTGAAGGATAAAAGCACGAAAATTGTAAAAAACAAAAATCTTACCGAATGAAATTTTTTCACGCGCCGCCATTTTGATACGAGGCAAAACCTCCCTCGTTTCCAGTTCATCCCCAGTGGTAGGGAAGGTTACGTGATAACTGGGTACACGGTAACTTTGGGAGATTATAATGGCCAGCTAATAATAGGTTTCATAAAAACGAAGATACACACTACTTGATAATGTATTAGTTTTGTTCATATCATATATGCTAGCTATTTTAGAGTCCACGGTATGCCACCGGAATGTGTTCTTCAGAATCTGTAATGTTCAAAACACTTCCGGCTTTCGGGTCGAAATATGTCTATAATTTGTCTGGAGGCCCCTGCCTCCCTCTCAGATCCGCCAGTGGTTATCTCTTGACGTTTACCTCTAGTGATTTTCTGTACCGTTTGCGAGTTCTAACCCTGTCTCGCTATTCAAAATATTGTCAAATTATCATCTTAAAATAGAGTACGATCTTGTTTTTCTCATTGTATGTTAACTTAGATTATACATCAACATCGACTGATCTATAATCTTTAAAGGTGGAATGGCGTTGGACGTATAATTTCAAACAATTTGGTGTTCTTAGAGTTGGATTGATATTTTATTATTCTGAAAATTAAAAATGTTACAATGATCAGAATATACGCGCAGTTCAAGTGAAGGCCTCAATTACAATAAGTAGTCCTGACATTTTTACACGGATATGATCATTTTGGGAATAAGTACAATTTAAATATCATTTGTTCCCAAAATGTCAAATATTCATTTTGTTAATACAATTATACGCAGTGTTATGATTCAATATTTTGGAAGTGGGGACATTGGATGTTGACTATATGAGGCGGGCAGAATGGGAGGTCCAAAAAAAGTTTAATGTACAATTGCAACATATTCTCGAATGTGGTACCGCTGGAAAGCTTATAGTGCCTATATTAGTAGTTTCAAACGATTTCTGATTTTTATGATGTTGTCAATGATGTCCAAAGAAGATTAGCTCCCCTGAGTTTCTTCTTGATGTTTTAATCTCCTATCAATGTGTGCTGATTTCTACGACAACATTGAAAATTAATGTCTTTGTTTACTGATATTTTAACTTTCTAGTTATACTGATTATAAATTCATAATCAGCGATCCATAATATTTCAACTAATAATATCTTGATCACTTCTCGTGGATTTTGATTTTTGTTTGGAAATAAGACCCATGGCTGCTGTTTGATCTTGAATGTTGGACGACAAAACTCCATATATGGCAAAATATTGAGTTTGAACCCTAGGAGCTCATTGTTCTTTGATTACTATAGATGAGTATCTTGAATTGGAAATGGGATTTGTTTTGATAAAATTGTATCTTACTTTCCATTACTTGTAGTTAATAACATTGCAACGGGTAACTTGGTTTTATACAGCGATTCGAAATACAATTTGGTTCGTAAAGCAGAGCGTATGTTCGATTATTTTCAAATTATTTATATACTCTCAATTAGTAAGTCTGTGTTTGATCACAACTAGTTTTCAAGAAGGAGAATTGATATGTGTAGCCCCGAGTCTTAAACAAACTGGCATTGAATAAGCCCGGCCGATCTTGAAATATGTCGTGATTACGAAATTCAAAATTAGACAGTCGCCATTTTTTCACATCAGATTTTGAATGAGAGTTTTTGGTCTTATTACTTATTTACAAAAAATTCAAAACACTCAAGAAGAGATCAAAATATTTCTTTTATTGACAAAGTTCAGTCACAACAATATATAGTTGCTGAATAAACGGAACAACCATGTAAAAAAGATCGGACTATTACTATATGGATACGGTAAATGACGAGAAACTGTGACAAAATTAATTATGCTTTCTTTCATGCTTTTGACAATGCTGTCTTTAGGACATATTTTTGTGAAACCGATGCATTCTTTAGTACACAGTATAGAAGCGGGAAAGGAATAGCTATATTAACTGAACCGTCCTTCAACCATTACTTAATTAATTTTTAATTTTACATGTATACCTACATATCTCTAAACTGTAAACTCTGTAAACTCAATCATATTTCGTAAGACGTCTTGAAAATGGTGGTGCAAACTCAACATAATTTTTCTAATACGTTTAAAGCCAAGACGTCTTGGAATGCCGCGTGTAGTGTAATTGGGCTATTAAGTCACCATGGCGTTCACTCCCCATACTGTGAAGATAAAGTGTCTATTGATTAATGCTTGATCAACTTTAATTAACAGTTTGCATTGTTTACAGACAGCATGAATTACGATGACATTTATTTCCTAAAAGAACATCATGAATCCATATAACACAATATAAGTTGCACCGAACAATTACAACAATTACAAAGGTGTTTCTGAGGTCATCATGGATTGGAATTCAGAATTAGCGTCGTTCGGTCTTTTATAGCACCATTTACAGAATGTCCTGTAAAGAATGGTTCTAAATAATTTAGATACCAAACAATAAATTATAAAATTGATCGCGGAATTGAATGTTGTTAACGTAGCGCCAATAGAGTAGAAATATCGCATCAAGTTGCGATCTGGCATCTGGACTCCGTGGGCGTGCAACGTATAAACCAAGCTGATCGCAAACGCTGGCGTTTGGCAGATGATAAACACGCACACGATGCACGCCAACATAAATGTCGTACTACTTTCTTGTTTTGATCTTTTCTTTAATAATCCTGAAGCCGATTCTAGATTTTTCAGTCTCTCCTTCGTTCTATAGTGACTCTCTCGAAGGTCCCGGATGATCCTGATGTTGAACGTCATCAAGAGACAGAGTGGGATAATAAAGTTCACCAAGTAATGTAGAACTGTAACATATAAGTAGGCGTAGATCTTTCCATTGATCTCTAGATACTCCGCGAAGCCAGCTATTTTGAATGATTTAGAACAGTCATCGTATGTTATTGGATTCTTGTCGAAGAACCTTGGGAGATTGAACAGAACCGTGAAAATAGCGACTGAGACTATGGCGATTCTTACTCTGGTGAGAGTACACCAATCTCGGACTTGGAGGGGATAGCAAATAGCCATATATCGCTCAGTAGTCACCAAGACGACAGATAAAATAGCAAAAAGTCCTGTCATCGCCGAGAATGCCCAAACATAACGATACATATATGGGTAGTTGCCAGAAAATGGATCGAACCAGTCTGTATAACGCCAAATTCCACGTAAACTCTGGCTAATAAATGACGTTGTGAGACAAAGCGAGTCCGCGATAGCTAAAGACTGCAACAATAATCTAGTGGTTTTGGCTGTAACATTATCCTTATGTAATACAATCACTGAAATGCAGTTTCCAACGATGCCGAATAGGCAAAGAAATCCTGTCACAAATACATCCAAAAAGACTCTGAAAAACAGGTAACCGGGATCATACTGCTTTGGCTTGTAGTTGCAAGTTGAAGCGTTTGTTAAGTTTAAGCCAGTTGTGAGGTTGTAAGTGTCGCCCATACTACTGGATGTGTCTTGTCGCAAGGCATCCATAGACGTTGGATCCATTGTCATTCTACGAATTCTCTAATTATTGTAATGTAGTTGTCACTCTACTCTATTATCCTGCAAAACAAATGAAAACCTCTTTTAAGTTTAATTAGATTAACTCTGTGTTCTATATGGTATTAGGTTTGAAGTAAATCTGATCACCATTCAACTCAACAATAAAAACTTTAGTGTTGATTTGATTTAAGGTGAACATCGGATTTTAATAATCCAATTCTATTCAACATGTCTATTGAATAAAAAGAAGCACCACGTACGATCGCGAGGACATGAGCCCGCAAACATCCTATACCCTTCTGATAAGTAAACAAGAGTGGGTGGCATGAATAAATCATGAAAACACTTCTCTTTTGTTGTGCTCCCACAGGATATAACATACAAAGAAACGTGATTCTGAACAGCATATTGGCCATGAAAGTATTTTCTCAATATAAATATCATCTTGAAAGCCCATGTAAATTACGATTTTTTTCATTCAAATAATATTATTATTCTAAGTAAAGCTGAAAATAGAACCCAAATCAATCCGACTATCAATACCTCGACACCAGTTCAAAATGTTGGACTTAGTATTTTGTATGAATATAATTGTCCCCAGAAATGTAGAGATTAGTTAAAGATCTGCTTATTATGTATAAGTAGCATTTTGGGGACCATTTAATTGTTACTAGACATTTTCAAAGTCCCAAAATTCATGATTGCAATCGAAAATTGTGCTTTCAAATAATAGATATAGTACTCATATACATGTAGTTCTAAATCACCTAAATGTTAATTTTTGTTTGGGCAACATGGGGATTTAGTATAAAATTGTTGTGGAAATGTTTTAAGTTAGCAATGTAATGTTTAAATTAACTATAGGATGGTCGTGGTTACAATGGGATAGTTTGTGTATACAATAATAATTGTGTTCACGATGAAATTATTGTCTGTTTACAATAAGACACGTTTACAATGGTATGGTTTGTGTTTATAATAGAATAATTATATTAACAATAGGATTGTGTTCACAATGGGATGATAGCGTACGATCAGGTGGTTTGTGTTAGCTTTAGAGGGCTATCGTGTTTACAATGAAATGATTGTGTTAACAATGGAATGATTGTGTCTGACTACAATAAGATGATTGTTTCAACAATGGAGTGATTATGCGGAACATTAGGAACATAACTCCGAAATAAACGAAATTATATTCATTACTCAATTCAAATTCGATCAACTAACAGAGATCTATGATTTACACTTATAAAACAAAATATAATTTGCTTTTAGAAAAATCCTTATTAATGATATTTTGGTTAGTTATTTAATAAGATGGATGTTTTTAGAAAAATCAATATAAGAATTTTCAGTTAAACTTACTTCTGTTCGGAAATAAAGCAATAAAAGTCAAAATGGGTACTATTTCTCATATAGTATATTATATAGTGTATTATTTATGTCAAAGAGTCTTCGCGTTTAACTGATCTGCAAACTCTTATTTCTTAAAAGTAATAAGCATTGTTTTGCAAATGAATGTACAACACTATTATAAACGGAATGTATTGATTACAATTAGGATCCCCTGGGTATCATCGCAAAATTAGTTTTTGAACTAACAAATGTTATAATACGGCTTCAGCTGTCACGTTCAAGCACTTGTAAACTTCATCAGGTTTTACATTGTTGTTTTTGCCTTACCCGTGAAATAAACACCATCTCCAATAGGGCCTGCTAAACAATCTTTGATCAAGAAACCATAAATTGCTCTACAATACCTTAGATAACATATTCTAGTTGAAGGTAGAGAGATGTGATGAGTATCAGAATTATAACTGTAAGTTATGGACTTAATATTAACCTTTGCATTCGTTCGACTTAATAGAATAGAAAAGAAAGCAAAAATCCTCGAGTAGTAATCTGGTTACCGATAATATTTTATTATATTTACTTGGGTCCATCTTGACCTTATTGTTCCATCAATCCATTTCATGCATATCGGAATACACTGGAAGAACCCTCATGCATACGTTGAACTGTTATCGAAAATTCATTTTTTGAAAAAAATAACTTCATACCTGCATGAGGTCTCGTCCATCGCCCATCTACTATGCTGTCAGTTATATACATATGTGATATTTATTGATAATACCAAGTGTTCCTTTCAAGATATACATAATTCTATCAATTTAGACTAAGTGTTCCATAGTGTTTTCCAATACGCCCTATCCCTTTTACAAGTTTTATAACCGGACGATATATAGTAGTCATTCCAGTCACGGAAGAATATTGCGGTATTATCGCGTTGCAATAGTTATTTCTTCGAATTAAACCAATCCCCACTGTCAACACCGAGTCAATACATCCGCTGACTATAGTAACAGTAACAAACTTTCCCAAAATGGCGACAGGTGCGTTTTGATTAATACAAACTCCATCTGTCACTTTGCTATATTGGTAAAGATCTCATGAATTTTTGGTAGATCTTTGTTGTCCTATCTTAATTTTGATGTCCGCTCAACTTTACACACTGTTGGAAGGCACACTGTTGGAAGGCTTTATCCAACAAGAGTTGTATTTCTGGCTATCATTTCCTTTAACAATTAATTACTATTTTTGATGCCAAAATAAACACTGACACAACTTTTCTTCGTAATTCTCAATGTAATTTTATATTTGTTTTAGAATTCATTAAATTGTACATTTTCTGCATCGCTGAATAAACACAGATATCAAAGCTACTGAGAAAATGTGAAATTGTTTACTAAATCATCAATACAGCTAGACCAAGTGATGAAAGGAAACAATTGCACAACCTTTACCGCCATCTTGAAGAAAAAAAATTGTGAATTATTTACGTAGACTATAATCATCAACACGATCGCACCACTGTGTTGTTGTCACAAAATATGTTTAAGTGTTTGTCTACATATTCCGACTTCCAAGATGGGACAACTGCAATGAAACATTGCAAACTCAAGACGTGTTAAGTACACTATCAATCTGCTGTGGCCATTTGCGTTTAATGAACCACCATGGCTGACAAATTGATGAAATCATTTATCAGCGCATTGATATTCAACAATCAGATAGAAAGAATGAATTTCTAAATGGGTTGTGCACAATTTGAATAAGAAGGATTATATTGTTTGGCCATTTTTACCTATTATTGCTATGCTACGGAATCTATTACAACGAGAGAACAGTGGAGGGTGAGCAAATTGCCAGCAATAGCATTTTCCTCGTTGCCAATCGATGTTTTCAAGCTCTACCTTGTCAACTATAATTGAGGGGTAATCAGTACGACAACCATATGCACCAATCTCCGAAGCGGGTATTCCTTTTGCAATACAAGGACTTAGAGTTGTTATTAAAATGCTGAATTGTAAATATTGATGGACGTCTATGCCGATAGAGTTCATTAACCCTACTTTACTTGACGTACGCTCTTTGCCATTCTGATCTATTCTGCTGATTGTATCTTGAGGCTTTTGAGAAACATCTAAAGTAGATTGAACAAAGCGAGAATCTTTGCTCTCTAAGGCAAGCACTTAATTAACATGAGTATCATGATGCTCATTCTCGGATTAATTCATCATCTGAGATTCCGCTTTAAAAAGTCTCAAGTTGGGTTTTTCATATATACTAGATATCCAAGGAGGATTGGCTCCCAGGGGCGCAACTATGGGCAGGGCGCAACTATGGGCAAGGCGCAACTATGGGCAGGGCGCAACTATGGACAGGGCGCAACTATGGGCAGGGCGCAACTATGGGCAGGGCGCAACTATGGGCAAGGCGCAACTCGATATTTTCCAACAATGAGAATGTCAGAACGTGGTTATTTTCTGAAATTAAAACTGACTATAAATTCATTATAAACAGTTTAAAAAAATTGAACTAATATCTCGGTCTCTTATTGTGTGTTTTAGAAATTTTTGTTTGGAAATAAGACCAAAACTCGCAATTCAAATTGGCGGCTATTTGAAATCGAGTTTTGAAATCACGGCATCTCCATATCTCTCTCAAAACTACTGAAGATTTGACGGTTAAAGTCGGTTAACCGACAGAAAGAATTACTTGATGATTTCAGAAGGTTTTTGAAAAATAAAAAAATAAAAATTATCGGAGTAATGTGAAAAATGATCGATATGTGTTTATTTCTCAAAATCGCCAAGGTTTGCTGTATTGGTTTCACATTTACCCTACCTTTCAATTACATACCACCTTGGTTATCCTTTCGTATCACCATAAACGTATGATTGTTTGTAATTTGGTTTCACAATATTAAAGCGAGGCTATATGACCTTTGACATGGAAGTACTAACAAAAGCAACAAACGAATGATGAATATAATTTCATGATCGTATCTCCCGGTCATGCCCGTCTTAAAGTCAAATATTAAAATCAAAACTGACACATACTTTGGAGGAAAATAACATAAGGATTTAAAATGTTTCTAATTAGGGAGTAATTATCTGACATGTGAGATGGCTGACACTTGGAAATAGTGAGCACGGTAAATGCTAAAGGATTAAAATGTTTCTGATTGCGTTTTTGGCAGGAATTATGTGAAGTGTGAGTCTGTGAGTAGCCTAGCTGGATCTGATTCTAGCTGCTGATTGGTTAATTATGAGGGATTTATTTTCAGCGCCGAAATTATCAAGCTAGTGTCATTGATTGAGCTTGAATTGAGACTCTGACATCTGTGAAAAAAGAAATTAATGATACAAAATAGGATTAGGTATCCACGGTCAACTAATTTAAGTGAAAATTTCTTACTCGAGTAAGCTACTATCGGCAGTTAACCATTAACCGGTTAACCATCGACAGCCCTACTAAAAACTTCCAAGATGGCCGCCAGAATGCAAGATGGCCGCCGAAAAGCTCTAGAACTTCTCATGTATCATGTATGAAAATATGAAGTAAAACCGTCAAGTGGTCTTCCTGGAATCGTCATGACAAGAAAGTGAGACGCCGCCCGCTCGCCCACCCGCCCGCCACCCGTCAAGCTGACGACAATATCTTACTTTTTAGGTACGATAAAACGTTTTTGAAAGATTATTAACCCGTTTAAGGCT